TAATAGTAGTTGAAGGTTCCTTTGAATTGCTGGAAGAACATTTAATAGTTAAACTTATCGGAGTGGAAGTGGAATAAATCCACGTTCCTTGATTATCGATGCGTCGAAACATAGGTGAGTAGGATTTGATGAGTCGTCGTGGACATAATATATTGATTGCTTTTTCGTTGCCTAAATATAAAGAATATTCGCAGCTTGGTCGAAGGGATTGCCAGATAGGAACAGTAGGAGAGCACACTGCGATTGGTGTAGTTTGACATTTATTTAGGTCATGGTGCTGTAACAACATGTAGGATTGTCGATTCTTTGACAAAGCGATTATAGGATATTTGTTGTTATAATAAACAAAGGATTTTATGGAGGGGAAATATACTGGTAGTTTTATTATTTCGTAGACATCAAAATATCCCGTAGGAGTAACGAGTGGAATCTTCGCAAAAACACGAAGCAGTTGTGGGACGGCTACAGCCGTAATAGAAGTCCATTGGTAGTATTTGAACATTGTTTCTAGAGTTATCCCATCGCATCTGTCGTTGCACTAAGGTAGTTAGTAGTTGGATATGTCGTTTCAACAGGNAAAAATAATTCAATCTTACATATTTTACTTAATTTTTGGCATATTAAATTTTACTTTATATTTCCATCTTTATAACGAATATATAAAAATAATTACGAAATATTCATATACAAAGTAAACGGAGAAAGTATTCTGAAGGCAAGTAGTGCTGTTTAAATAGTCATTTATGTATAATTACTTATTTGTGTTTAGTTTAAAACATACACTACATACACTCAGATTATGTGTTCTTTTTTGGCATGTAAAATTGGATGCTATGATAACAGTTTAACACAGTGCAAATTAAGTTTTCGATCATGAATTTTTAATTTTGAAAGCATCTCTCTATAAACAATACATATTTTTTCACACATTTATACAGAACGTGTACACAGGATGCAACTAGCTACCGATATACTTTATTATATTGTAAGAGAACGCTCATAACATAAATAGAGCTTTCTATTTAAAAGTTACAATCTGTTGTAGAAAAGGTAATGTATTAACCTAGGATGTTGTGACGTTTTGAACTGCTACTTTTCTATATTTCCAGTTTTCTCCAAATTGATATATAACAATTGTATAAGTTACGGCTACACTACACATAGCAAGCAACAGATTACGATCGACATAAAACAATCCCCAACCTGTAAACTTCGGTAAATGTTGAGAACATTTCACAGAGAACTGGAAAGCAACATTCCTCATATATTCAGTTGTACAAGAAAACCATAATTGATAAGAAAGTAAAGATAAATAATTCGCATTGTCTGTCATCCGGGATGATGTCAGACAAATTTCAGAGAACTGATAAATCGGAAAACCTACAAGAATAATTAAAATTATTAACTGTATTTTGTTATATAGGTAAGCAGATTGAACAATATGACTCAGCACGACAGTCAGACTTTCTCCCATAGCCATGGTCCATAGAAACAAAATTGGAGAATACACTTTTTCGATAATCTGTACCACTTCCATTATAGTAAAATATACCTTAACAGTAATATCTATATTAATTTCACGCACGGTTATTTTATGGCAAAGTTGTCGAAAAGACATTTCTATTTCTTTGCAAATAACAATGAACAAAAGAACAAATAACTGACTCGGGATGAGGATCAATAACGATGAAATCAAAATATATAAAGTAGCAATTATACAAGTTACTTTACGAGAAAAATTAGTACCACAGAGAATATTGAAATTATAATAATCGGGTATGTAGATAAATATGATTGTTATAGATACCCAAGCATTGTGAACAAAACAATAAATATAAATCAGAAGAATTTTTATTGATAAGTGTCTAGAATTTACTCCACTGAAAAGTTTTAATTGTGAATTTTCAAACAATTTTTTCAACGAATCAAATAGCTTTGTTTTATTAAGCAGAAAGTGGTAATATAAAATCGTAACAATAATATTCGTGATGGAACAGTTTATATACATCATCATAATAATTGGTGATTCATCAGTGGACAAAACAAAATTCGTCTGATAGACTTGTATAGCACACGTTATTTTCATCAGCAATAGAAGTATGACGTTATACACAGAAAATCTTGTGTTTCCTTTGTTCACTCCCCATAATGACAAATTCTTAAGCAACGGGGACCAAGTTCTTTCTATGATCATTTCAAAATTTGACTTCAGTCGAGAGTTACGTAGAAAACGTTTAAAATCTGTAAAATAAGAAAAATGACATAACCTATAAAATTCTATATCAATATATTACACATAAACTTTCTATTGTATTTTCCAGTAAAAAATTTGTGCCGATATTTATTCAGAAAGCTGCGTTTTAATATTTGGTCCGTTTTATTGCGAAATTTCATTCGTTGGCAGATTACCATTTTATATTCGGCTGCGAATGGTAGTTTTTTACAGTTAGTATTAAGAAAAATATATCTTAAAAAGTTTAAAATATCATATTTTTAATTGGTGCCTACATGACCAATGAAAATTTGTGCCATTTCGTATCATCCCGAGTATCGCAATAAACGACACAATGGTAGGTTAAAATGATCAAACTATATGGTTTTCGTTTTTGTTTGGTATATTGCATTATTTGTCTTATATTTACAAAAGTTATCTTACATAAAAGTTTGTCACTATACGTGACTCATTGTGATAAACATTTTAGTAAGATAAGCTTCGTAAATATAAAAGAAATACAGTCGACCCCCACGTATTTTATAACCACATGTGCCGGGCTGTGAACGACACACGTATTTGTAAAATCTAAGTGACTCGTACAACATGGAATTCATATAAAACAAAATTATCAACAGTGTTATAGGGTGGACGACTACTATAATACCACGTATAATATAATAGAATGGTTAGAAGTACAAAATAATCTAATAATGTAAATCTATTTTGTTGTAATTTTTTGTACGAGCAACGTCGGGCTGATCTGCTAGTTAATATATACAAAATGTGTTCGAAAATAAACTTTATTAAAAGCGTTATTTCACTGCAATTTTCAAATTACAGACCAGTACATTCCCACTGACATTTGTCCGTTCGTCCGTCTGTTGTTTATCTTCAGAACGGTGTTAGATACATGATAATCTATACCACATTTAGATAGCATATTTGTGAATTGAAATATAATTGAAAATTGCAGCCTGAATTATGACATTCTCACTGTAAATAATTGCTTGTAATTTACTGTAAATATGAGAGAAATTTACCGAAAATTATTTCGTGTTGTTTAATTTTCAATATTTTATTTTATTTGCTTTAACTTTGTTTAATTATCTGCGAAAGTAGTGTAATATTCATTTATCGTCCACACATTGGTTGTATTCTAATTCTGAAAAAAAAATAGTATTATAGTTTATATAATGAAATTTCTTGTATAATATTTGGATATTTAAAGATATGCTTGTTAAAACAATAGGTAGTTTTTATTGTTAATGTAACAAATGTAACAATAAAAACTTTGTAATTTTGTAAGTTCTTTGACAATGTTATTAGCGAGGTTGAGGCCGAAGTTTTCATCTGTAAAACGTGAACGTCGAACGTTTACGTTTTACAAATGAAAACTTCGGCCGCAACTTGGCTAATATGTGGAACAACTTAGAAAATGACAATGAACAATGTTCCAGTTCAGCAATTTTGAAGTTCTTCGATTAGTTCGCTATCGAACATTAATGGAGGATTTTATGTACTTACATAACATTTTGATTTAGAAAGTTATTGCAATCAAAATATATTTTGAGAGTAGTTATTTATTTATTAGATACTTCATTAATTACTATCGTGTCTGTAGTCGTGCTTCAGAAGTTTTAAATACATAAATACTTTCTCTTAAATATTCCGTGTTGAAATGAAACTACGTCTTATATGCCGTAAAGTTCGACATATATCTTGACTGGAAATTAGAATAAGATAAAAGCAACTTAATAGATACAATAGCAGTGACACTATAGGCGCACTTGGTGGACGTCCACACCTCGTCTCGAACGGCTTCAAAAATTACATAGCGAAAACGTAATATGCTTCTAAAAATGTAGTATACGTTACATAATATATATTATAAAGAAAAACCTTGTGATTATTCAAGAATTTTATTGTTTTTTTAATAAAGAAAAGCAATTTTATATGAAGGGCCTTAAAACAAAACAGTGCCTAAAGCCTCAGAGGGATATAATTCGCTACTGATCTATCGGAAAAATAAACACAAATAGACTTACTCTGGAAAACGCAAATTGAAAAAACAAAGCGTTGGCTCTTGTCCAATACAAAGTGCTTTGAAAAACACACTGAACAATGCAGAATAGAAGTATTAATCAGAATAATGGCAGTACAATATTCTATTTATTAGAAACTTCCCATTCAACTGTAATTACAGAAATATGCTTGGAAAACGAAGACCTACAAGTACAAAACGTAGCGAAATGTAAAGCGTAATGTAAGCGTCATTACTTAGTGCCAAATGATAAAATAAAATATTAATATACAGTATCTCGTACTTACCAGCAACCAAAATTTCAATTTTCTTCTTTAAAAAAAAAATTCTTGTTTCACCTGACGGCAGTGTAATAAATAATACGACAGTAAATTTCAATATATTTCTCATTAAACGAATTGTAAATAGGGTACATGTTTACTTATTTAACAAAAGTTTTCATTATTCTATTGTTGAAAAATGATTGACAGACAACATGTATATTAATAATATTATTTAACAAAAGTTTTCATTATTCTATTGTTGAAAAATGATTGACAGACAACATGTATATTAATAATATATTTTTGCAACAATTTTCTGAAAGTGTACTCCACAAGCATTCAACTTTGATCCATAAAACTCCTCCGTTAATTTGTTGTTTTTCCATATGTTTATAAGTTTGTAAACCTTTCTAAAGTGAAAGCTGAATTAAACGGAAACTTGTCTAAATAGAAATAGATTCCAAAAACATCAGTTTACTGTATTAACTTTTATTACAAACAGGAAACCAGTCAAATGAGGATATAGAAAACGTACTTGGTACGAAATAGAAACATAACTTAAACACGAGTAAATCTGGAAGATAAAAACGCTGATTAAAGATAAACATCGTCTCCTAATATAAAGGCCATAAACCTTTGAGATTCAAAAACCCGCTAGGTCAAATTTGATACGGTTACAATATTATTTGATAACAGCTACGAAAATAAAAATTTTAGACGATTACAATACTTTACCGTGTCATGTTATAATACTTGTATATGAGTTCTGTTCAATCCAATTTTTTATGTTTCTTTCTCTTTATCCTTTTTCTCTTCTATCGATTTCTGATTTGCCACTGGCTTCTGTTATAGAAAACTCGCCTTTATTGTCGTCTCCTTTGTTGTCTAGCATAATTAGAACATTTTTCATAATTCCCAGTATCTGCAATTCTCACCTTTGATCTAAACGTTTCCATATTCTTTTACTTTATAATATGTAGTCAAGTTGTATTTATTATTATCATGATCAATCCCTGATATACTGTACAGTATAGCATTTTTGATAAATGGAATGACATTTTGCTAAATTATCATGCAACAATTATTTTTATCCGCTTCATAAGTAGAAAATGAATAACTTCTAGTTAATTTCAAAAATAGAATTGTTTCTTTATTTGTGCAACTTGCATTAGAAAAATTGCAGTTTATTTGACTAAATTGGAATACTGAGTTTTTTCTTTCGTTTCTCCAAAATGGGGTAAATTACGTCCGAATTTCAAATCGTATTCGGTTTTCGATAATGTCAGCTTTAACCGTTATGACATCGATAGGTCTATTTTCTTTAACCAAAATGTTGAATAAAGTTAGCATTATCATATTAATTCCAGCTCTATTCGATCCACAATCTTTAACCGTGGCGTATATACTGATAAATATGAGCTTTTACCTAGTGATCCAATAGAAGAAATTAAAAAAAGGAATGAAAATACATAAAAAAGAGTTTACGAGTCAAAATTATAAGAAGATAATGAACTTTAATAATGCACGTATTCCACAACTTAATATTAGACTTAAAACCCACAAAGTGGGAAATGTTTATAGACCATTAGTGGATTTTAAATATTCTATATTGTATAATTTAGAACATCATATTAAAAATTATTTACAGTGTATACCAGATTGTAAATATAGTATAAAAAAATACAGACTTATGCAAACACTTTAAATAAAAATATTGGATTCACCTATGAAAAAGAGAAAATTTGTAAAATTAATTATTTAGATGTTACAATCATAAGACAAAATGAAAAACAATTGTTTCGTAAGTACGAGAAAACTTGTAATAATAATAAAGTGATTAATTATAAATCATATTGTTCCATAGAAATTAAGAGAAATGTATTTTTAATCAAATGGAATTACAAAAATTTTTAATAGAACAACGTTACAGGAATATATTGAAGTGGAAATTAAAACTCTTTTTAAATAATTTGAAATTGTGATCCATCTCTGTGTTTAATTTTCTTGAAATCGGATAAAAAAGAGTGGTTTTAACTCGTTTATTCTTAAAATTTACGATTTTTTAGAATTATTATTTTAACGTATACTTTTGTATTATATTCTTCGTAGAAAATATTTCTGTAAATTCAAATCTCTAAAAATCTTTAGATACATTCTGAATTTTCTAATAATTTAGAGAAAACATTTTAAATTTTCTACGTGGTATTAACATGAAATACTTGAAACGAAATTCAAATCTACATCAATAAAAATTCAGTTTGAAGATTCAAATCAATTCCTCTATCGGTATTTGCATATGATAAATCGTAATATTAAAAATATTATATATATTACATTTACTTGATTTCATATTAGAATTAATTGAATTCGAGTTAATTGATACTAGCCGGATAACCATACAGTTAGACTGACAGCTTTTTGTTTTTGAACAACCGAGTTCGGAATCCGGACAAATGGAAAATCCCCAGAAATTCTTTTTGAGGTATTCCCCTTATCCTGTCTGTCTTATTGTGGGTTTGGCCAACCTATAATAAGCTTGCTAAAAAGGTCTTCTTAGTGCCCTGTAATCAGTAAATGTTTTTTTTTTTTTTTTTTTAATTTTGTGAATACTGTAGCAATATAAAGAATAAAACAGGGAACCATATTGATTGAGCAGTAAATTCATAATAGCAAATATAAATGAAAAACAAGATATACGCCCTTAAGAGAATACACTATAAATATGTGAATGTGTAAAGTAAAGAAAATGCTTATTTAAAACTTTCCAATTGACAGAGAATTAGGGTATAAATAAGCGCCACACTACATATACTAAGCATTCAACCACATTCCCCATCCTATAAACCTGGAAAGTTATTGAAATCGCCCAATGAAAAACCTGAAAGCAAATTCTTCTATTCTGTTTTCGTTACAGGAAAGAGAATAACGACACGAAATCGAAGCTACTTTTACAAAACAATAAAATAAGTAAAACTGTATACGAGACAATTCAGCCAGATGAGTGTAATCATGACAATTTGATATCTCGTGGCTACATTGCTTTTTATTTTTAATTCTGATATCTTAATTAAACAACTTGGAATTTAAAAATGGAAATTAATTTCAGTTTTCTTGAAATGAAAAATGATATAATGAAAAAAACGACAAATGACATGAAAATTAAATCTACCGCTGATAAATTTTGTTTTAAATTAATAAATAATCTTTGTTATACGAAGAAACATGTATATATCCTCGCTGCTAACAATACAATAATGGTGCGCACAGTAAATCGCTTCTTATCTATCAATAGTTTCAGTCCTAAAAGTGTCATATTTTTAAGTAAAGGTTTCCATCTACTCTCTATACTTACATTTCTGTCATATTTTGATTGATTTTCACGAAAGATTTCCAGAACAGAAATAGCACTCATAGCGTATTCAACAGTTTTGTTCTGTACGTAACCAGGGTATTCGTTGATGTGCTTCAAAAAACTTACTTGCGTAAGGACGTTGTAATGAATTCAAGAAAATAGCTTTTTTTTTCAGTAAACATAATTAATTTCTCTGTCAACGTTTCATTATCTTCTCTTTATTCAGCGTAAGAAATATTTACACGTAATAAGCAAAAAGTAAACAAAAGTTTCTAGATTAATACGTTCTGTAAACATAACAATCTAATTTCATAAATTTCTTATATATTTGCAATATTAAATGAATAGATATATTCGAGTGTACAAAATATATATTGTTTTCATTATTAAAAACTTCTATTGATTATTTCTTAAGTGTTTCTGCTACTGTTGTACTGTACATAACAGTGGGAAAGTGTGGAGATCAGTGAAAAAAATTACCCCCTCCCCCCAACATTTTTACAGTTTTGGACATAGGACACTCTGAAACGTCGAAAAATTAAAAGAAATTCGGAGGGTATTTCTGTATGTTAGTGCGTGTGGCATGTCTTTGTTTACTCTCTTTGAAGCTTGATAACTCTTGTGCTTTATGCTAAAATTTTCTTAGATTTTAAAGGGAGGTTTGTGTATTAGGTGATTGATATTATTAAATTTTAGTGGTTGAAAGTCGAGGGGCTCGAGGTTAATGAGGTCGTGTCTATCTCGAGTAGAGTCGGACTTAATGACGATTTTACTCGTTATTAGCATTAACAATTTTTTATAAACACATCCCCCCTCAAATTTAATCTTTTTGCCATTTTATAATAGTTAAAATTATAAAAACTTTTTAAAATAAAATATGATAACAGATGACGCCACCAAAATTTTAAANGTAACGAGTGGAATCTTCGCAAAAACACGAAGCAGTTGTGGGACGGCTACAGCCGTAATAGAAGTCCATTGGTAGTATTTGAACATTGTTTCTAGTCTTGGCGCTTCCAAAAACGCATATCCCTCCGGTAAATGTAGTTGTATTTCCTTTAGAGTTTTCAGTAATGTTTCCTTTGGAAGAAAATAGGTGCTAAGTCGACCTTGTTCCAAAGTCTCGATTGCGTTTCGGATCTCAAGTATCTGAGTTCGGAATTCTCGGATAGAAAATTCTATAGATCGAGTTGCTGATTCGAAGGCAAGGTGATATTGGGTTTGAGCTAAGGTTTTCTCTATAAGTGTTTGTTTCTTAATTAGGGCCTGTATTTGTTGTCGATTGGCTTTTGCAATCCGTAAGGTATCGTTAAGGAGAGTCGCTTGCGACTGAAGGAGGTGTATATACTCTTCGTTAGTTTCAGTTAGTCGGGCTATATTTTCATTAAGGATCTCTATATCTTCTGTTGTAGCAACTCCAAAGAGATATTTTAAAAGTTTCCCTCCGGTGTCTATTAATCCACGTTTTCCTCGAGTAACATTGAGGGTAACAAGAGTTTTGAGGTCGTTGTAATCCGCTTCGTAATCTAACAGGGTAGCTTTTAAAAGAGTGATTTCATCGGCCGACAGAGTCCAACGTGATGCCGGTAGATGAGTAGAGTTATCCCATCGCATCTGTCGTTGCACTAAGGTAGTTAGTAGTTGGATATGTCGTTTCAACAGGTATAATTGTTCGTCATAAGGTTGAAATGATACATCTAAAACAAGGATCCAATAATTCGTGGTCATAAAAAAGTTTCCTTGGTGTACAANTCTTAATATTTATCTTGAAATTTTATTTTAATGGTTTTAGCAATTTGAATGTCTTTTAATTGGCATATGACAAATCCTAAATATTAAAGACAAACAAAATTTTTCCATTGACTTAACATGGAGATGAATTTTGAAGCTCGATATCTCACGTTGTAAGTAGAATTTAAAAATTATGTTTTCGTCACGACACGCCATTTTATTACTTTTATTAACATTCAAAATCTCGTTCAAATCGGTCTAGTCATTACTTCGCAAAACGTTCTAGCTATTTGTACGTTCGAATCGCTGTCATTGAAATTCTTTAGTTTCCCTCTTTTCTGTGGTTGTTTGTATGTTTGTCTGCCAAGCAAGCTAGCTCGATTCCCTGCTGAGCATCAAGAACAGATGGAAAGTGGGTATTTTTGTACGATTTTGTTCACCCAGTTTAATTTAATTTCTGCGCTTTTAGTCGAATATTTCTTCACTTTTCCACGGAGGTTTGTTTCTTCGGAGAATTGTCCTACTAAATTTGGTAAGTTAAGGTTGAGTAGGTGGAGAGAGAAGTGGGGGGAGTCGAGTGTTATATTTCGACCGGGGTCAGATTAATGACTATTTTATTCGTTAATTTCATTTAGTATTAAAAAATTCATCTCTATCCTGAAAATTATTCTTTGTATAATCTGAAAACATATGGTGCCACACAATTTTATTTTTTTTTTGCCGGAAAGTCATGCAACTCATTGATGGAATTTTTAAAAATGATGGACGAATTTCTTTAAATTATTATTATAATTATGTTTAGTTTTCAGCCTGTTCAAACATACACGAGATGTCTTCCTTTTCAGAAATCTTTGTTTTCCAGTTATAACTTTCTTTTTGGCGTGTGTAACAAACCAAATAACAGTAAGTTTTTAATTGGAATTACGTTTTTACGAATAATATTATATCCCAATTGTTTATATGCATCAAATGGAAATTAAATAGGCCTAAGTGTTATTGAATTTAATAACAACTTTCACGCACAGTAAAAGTAACGATTTGCAAGCAACTGTAAGTTATCAGTTACGTGATTTAGAAAACAAACTGAAAACAAACGTCCTTCACCATAATTTTATTTTATAAATTCAAAAGAATACAAATTCCTCGTAGGAATTCCTCTTTTAATATTTTTAAACTTTTATTGGACAAGTAAGTTTTGGTTTTGCAATTGGAGTAATCCAATTAAACCAAGAAAAAGGGGAAAGGGAAATACTAGACGGAGGTTTTAATGATGATTCAAGATAATCTGATATGCCTGAGATAGCAGTAAGAAGGGTGTTACAGTTTTCTTCCCCTTTAATGATATTATTTCTAATTGCTTGAGTGCAATTCATTGCATAGTCTAGGCAATTGTCACCTTTATCCTTCTGAACGATCTCCAAAACGCAGAAAAAAGTTGAAATTACACTTGATGAAATAGAACAGATATTTGTTAAACTGTTTGACAATTCAAAAATCGAATCGTGTGTAGTAAGTATAACTTCGGTTGTTCTCTCTTCGTGTGATGTAGTAGTTTTAGTTATTGTCGTTGACTCGGTCTCTGTTGTTGATGAGGTCGTTGTTGGAGTTTCCGTAGTAGTCGTTGTTGTACTCTCTTCTGTTGTTTCTTTAGGTGAAGTGCTTTCAGTACACGTGGTTGTTTCTTCTGTCGTTGTTTTCTCATCTGAAGTTGTAGTAACGTCTGTTGTCGTTGGTGTTGGCTCTGGTGTTGTCGGCGTTGTTGATTCTGTTATTGTCGGTGTTGATGTTTCTGTTGTTATCGGTGTTGATGTTTCTGTTGTTATCGGTGTTGATGTTTCTGTTGTTATCGGTGTTGATGTTTCTGTTGTTATCGATGTTGATGTTTCTGTTGTCTGCGTTGATATTTCTGTCGTTTCCTCTCCATTGGGTGGAGTGCTTTCAGTACACGTGGTTGTTTCTTCTGTTGTTGTCGGTATTGTTGTTGGTGTTGTTTCTGTTGTTTCATCTTCTGAAATTGTAGAGGTTTTTGGTATTATTGATGTGTTTTCTGTTCCTGTTGTTAGAATATTTTCTGTTGTTGTTTCCTCACATTCAATTGTTTCATTATTTTCTGTACCGATATGTATGTCGATAATTACTCTTCCTTCAGTGTCAAATGATCTTTTATTAAATGACGAAAAGCACTTGGTTATATCTACAGTAGTTTTCTGTAAATATAATTTAAAAAATTTAATTTAACAAAGAGTAACATTTTGAAGAAAATCAAAGATGTAAAACTCTCTCTTTTGGATTTAATTCTTTTCGTCTTAGGACTTTAACAGGGTCTTTATTAATTGCTGTCAGTGATTTTGTCAAATAAATTGTCTTTGGCTTATTTGGTTATGAAAACGCAACACATGGACGTTCTGCTCTGGTGGATGCCTCCCAGAAGAATTTTCTGTCGAAAATTGGCTTTTACTTTCAGCAGATAGGGGATGAAATCAGAGCTACTCAAAGGTATTGCCTGGGGTGAAAATGGAGAAGAAAGATGATTTAGAGCAGTGTTTTTCAACCTTCTTGAATAAGCGACCCCTTTACAAGTTAAAAAATTCTGGCGACCCCCCAGGGCCCTATGTCAGTGATTTTAAAAACTACGTATTTAAGTTTCTTTCTGTTGAGGCCTAAATATCGATCAAAAAACCAATTGTACTGTAAAATAAACAGGCACAGCCTTCTCACTGAGATTGTAGGTTTTTTTATTGTAGTGTAGGACCTACAAACACTTGTCTTTTTCTTTTAGCCGCGACCCTCCGTGTAAGGCTTTGCGACCCCTCTGGGGGTCGCGACCCACAGGTTGAAAAACACTGATTTAGAGGAAAAAGCGGAAGGTAAAATTATAAAGAAGGATAGGAAAGGGAGTGAAATGGATGTACAAAGGCGCCTGTATTGCTTTTATTTAAAACAAAATTAAAAATTTACATTTAGTTGTGGAACAGTAGTAAAGATGTCGGAAATTGGCTCCTGTTTAAATGTTATAAAAGTGAAGAAAACCCGAAAAACTTTACATGAGCAAACACGAACCCACGACCAACTCCCAGTGATGGTCGTGGGTTCGTGAGACAGCAGGTTTAATTCAGCTAGTGTTTAAAAGGTTCCAGATGAGTTCTTCTATAAAAAACATAGAACAGTCAATTGGGTTCCTCCGACCCAAAGATAAAACAGTTAGAGTGTATAAGTCCTCTTAAAATAGGAATCTGATGAATGGCCGAGTGAAAGACACCAGCTTTTTAATAGGGATGTTTCAGTTTAGGTAGAGTCAGAAATATCACGGTTGTGTCTGCATAAATCTGAGTAGCCACATTTTCTCATTTCCATTATGGGCCTGGCAAAATCCACAATGGATGCATTTAAAAATGGTCTATTTAGGCGAAAATAGAACGTTTAAGGCGAAAGATATTCTAAAATGGACCCTCCCGATTGATCTTGGTAATTATATTAGAATGTATATAGAAATATACCAAAATTTATATTAATGTATTTATAAACTTACCATATTAAAGAAAGATGTGAATTTTGATATTATACTTTCTATTTTTTTGTCAAACTGACTATTCTGTCTTTCAGCCCCAATGTTATTTTGAATATTTAAATTTCTTCCATCGCTGTTTCCAGCAAATATAATACCTGAACGAAAAAGTTTTGTATTTAATTTACAATTTCAAATTGAAATTTAATACTTTGTAGTTTTAATTAAAACGAATTAACGACATGAAAATGACTACTAATTAGGACAAGACCTTCATTAAAAAATAATAATAATAATAGACTAAAATACATCAAGTATAATTTATGCATAAAGTTGATAAATAAGATAATTTAACAATTACTAATCTATTGTTATACTATGAACGAGAAACTATCAAAATAAAAGCATTACACAAATGCATATGATAGAGTCGAACCTGCAATAAACGACGTCCATTTTATCAGAAACTCTTTTAGGGTAATAAAAAAATGCATATAAAAAAAAACCAAACTACTGAGGGAAACATTAAAACTGGCCGACGTTTAGAGGTTTGACTGTATTTCCAAAGATTAACACTATACGAGAAAATGTCGCTGCTTTCGGCGCACGTGACATAATGCCAGTACAGAATAACAACTGCATGACCATGACCGATAAAATTCTATTTTATAAAACTCGTGCGTAACAGTAACGAGAATTTATTTCTAATTTTCTCATCTCTTAAATTAATATTAGATATTAATTAAATTAAATCCATTAAAACAATTAAACTTAATAAGTAAAAAATAAATTATAATTAACTTATAAATTAAAAGTTGAGTAACTTACACTCAAAATTATAAAAATCAATTAACTAAATAAATTGCTTAAACGTTTATTAATTAATATTTTTATATGTTTAATTAATTAGTTTTAAATACAAAGATATAAATTTATTTTAATTTATTAAGAAATTTTTATTGTTTTATAATAAATTAAATATATTTTTATTTAATTTATTAATAGAAAAACATTTTAAAATATTCGTAGAATATTAATATTTAGATGTAACGGCATTAATCGCCATGAAAGTATGGTTAATAATTACTGTCTATAGAAGTTTAATATAAAAAAACATAGACTTATATATAACCGAAATGAGTTGATAATAATAATAATAACAAGCACAGAGATCAAACGGTTGGGGTTGAAATTAGGTACACTGTTAGGGTACACCATGAAAATGAACACTAAGAAGGAATTTTTGGAAATTCCCCTCGAAGGAAAGGGAGAGAATTAATGAGTTATTCATAGAATAATACGTTAAAACTTACCAAAGAACGTGAAAAGTAGTATATTATTCATCTTTTCCTCAGTTAAATTGGAAAATGAAGACTATTTTCTCACTTTCGAATGAAAATTTATGACCAGATTCGAACGAGACACCGGTATATTTACCAAAAAATATAACATATGGTATGCCAATTGGAAATTCGGTGGTCGCACCTGCTCAACCTATTTGTTGTTTTCACTGTTTATGAGGTACACACTTAAATTTTTTATTTTTATAATTTTTTAGTTTAATTTTTAAATTATTCTAAATATCCATTGATTTTATTTTTAATGTGAAAATTAATTTTAATATTAGCTTTAGTGTTCTAAATTAACCTATTAAAACTTAATTAAGTAGTATATTTAGTTACGCTTTGGTGGAAAGGAAGAAAACACACGCTATAAATTAGTCCCCGCATAACGTGACGCTTGCGTTACGCTATTTCCGTGTTACGTTATTATTTTTTCCAAAGAAAATATTGGTTAACAACGTTAAAAACTCACGTAACGTGTTATCTTATGCGATTTTATATGCGAGGGGTGAAGCGTAGGTTCGGATGAATGTTTTATTTTATTTATTTATTTATTTTTGCTATGTTTGGAATTTTCATCTTAAATTTAAGATTTTTGCATTTAGGGGTTAAGTCACTGACGTCACAGTCAATACATTAGTGAATGCTAACTTCAGGAATACAATAACAAATCCGATAACAAAACAATTAAAACTAATGTTTCCTCTTGATAACAGATGGCACTTTAATAAAATTTCTTCGAAGTGCTGAGAATTTATGTAATTTTTTTGCATGAAATGGTTTATTGCATTCTTTTGTTTTGTTTCCTATAATCAAGTGTGTCTGATAGAAGCAAGACACGCAGTTCCCTTGGGGTGTGTTACAATGATTGCCATTAGAAAGAAGAAAATAGGAAATCCATTCTACACTAGGAACAAAAACAAATAGCAAAATCATGTTTATTTGACACACACTGTATTAGGTAACAGTATACATTTAATATCCAATAATTCTTTGAAGTATTGTTGCGGTGTACGATACAATCCAATAGATATTGTTTGTTTTTCTACAATCATATTAGACAGTTTTTTCTATTTCTTTTAGATCATTAACCTTAAATTTAAAATTAATTTTAATGGTAAATTATTTTTAAATACTTTTTCATTTAATACACTACTAGGTGTTTTATTCTTGATTGGAATTACATAAGTATATTTTGAAAACAAATCAAAAATTATAAGTAAATATTTCTAACTATTATTGTCTTTAGCCAAATGTTTTAAATCAGCTAAATCTGCTTGCCACAATTTCATTTTGTCTTAAAGATATTGTTATCTTACGAGTAAACTTTAATCTTACAGATTTAGAATGAGTATGAGCATATTTGTGATGGAGTGGCATGAGTTAATAATGAACGTCGTTGTGATAATGGTGATTTTTTAATACATATATCCAATATAATCCACTGTTATCAGGAGAACAAGATGATCTGAGAGGTAGTTCTTGTTGCTTAATAGATGAAAATGTATTAATAAATAACTGTAGCATTCATACAGGTACTCATAAAATAAGAATAATTTTGTGGAAAAGCTTGTCTAGCTAAACACATAATTTGACTTTCATCTCTTTAATTTTTAAGTATAATCAAATAATGTGTATTTAATGTTATATCCTCCATTATTTTATTTCGAGGGAATAATTTTTAAACTATTAGAATTACATTTAAATTATAATGATGAGATTGATGATGGCATAAATAAACAGAAACATACAAAAAATAGTAGCATAAATAAACAGAAACATACCAAAAATAGTGGCATAAATAAACAGAAACATACCAAAAATAGTGGCATAAATAAACAGAAACATACCAAAAATAGTGGCATAAATAAACAGAAACATACCAAAAATAGTGGCATAAATAAACAGAAACATACCAAAAATAGTGGCATAAATAAACAGAAACATACATACAAAAATACAACAAAAGACAAAATTATATATAAATATTTTCTTGACATTATAAGTGAATGCTCACACTGATGGCAAAACTAAAACTTCGTACAAATTTCTATAACAGTATTTATATATGCTATTGAGAATCAAAAATTTAATACAGAGTCCTGCATGTACAGTATATACTAGTCATGGTGTAGCAATTTTTTGTACCATCGTTGTATTATAACAAGAGTACATTATCTTCGTTTTTATAATTATAATGCCTTGCTACATTAGTAGGTCCTTTTCCATGACTATCATAAGTTTAGCCAGCTGCAATGAGAGTGAAGAATGGTGCATAAGTAGCCAATCATTGTAAATTTCTAAGCTGATACAGGCTCGAACCCGAGTTCCTTAGATCAGTGAGGTACTCACATAGAGCAGGTAGACACACGTCTATAGCATAAGCCCTTCCATAGGAACCAGAAAATATATGTAATGCTACTAAATATAATTTTAACTTATGAAATCTTTTCTTAATAAGTATATCCTTTTATTTTCATTTCACCATGTTTCCTACGTTATTAATGTTTTAATTTATACCCTACTTAAATTCCGGTAACAAATTATATATTTGCAGACTAAGTGGTGTCAGAATAACTTGAGAATTATACAAGAAAGTAGAAATATTCGTGTATTTTTGACTTTCGACAATTAATTAAATGGCTATCACCCAGTGAGACTGGTTAGTCTGGAACTCCCCCTTATTTTTAGATAAAGAGTATAAACAGCGTAGTGTATGGATAACACGTACTTTTTAAATGCATTAAGGAGACAGTAGCGCAAACTTTCCTCCTAGTGGATGAAATTTGAAGTAAAACTTTTTCAAGAGTCGAAACCGCATACCCAGCTAATACGATAAATTTGGTTTAAATTTGCTCATATTGAGATATCTCATGAATTGTTTTACATGTAATTAAAGGAGAGGATTTGCCAAAGGGGTGGTCAAAAATGGCTTGAAAACTGTACACGTAATTAATTAACGTCCACGAAGGTAATTAAGTTACTTAAGTATTCGGAATATTTGAGTATCGAAATCTGATTTAATATTCGGATTCGATAAGAGTGATATTCGTAGGTCTCTAGTAAGGACATATTCTTCAATTAAATTTTGTTTATAGTGAAGAATAATGTGTAAACGACATTTTCGTATTAATGCTTGTGTAAGCATATATTAATCATAAATTAACAATAGCAAAAAAATAAATTTAAAATAAATTTTATTCTATAGATTCAAAAGTGCAAATTTGACATCAGAATTTTATTTAGTTTAATTGAAATTATCAATTGTCGGTTTTAATTAAAATCATACGGGACACTTAAAGCTTAAGGACTTCTCACATAATGAAGGAAAAATGTAACAGATTCCTGTAAATATAATACCTGGCGGTTCTAAAAAAGATATAATATCATCTAATATATCTATGATAGCACGTGTAAGGCACAAACAATCTTGTCTATTCATACTAATTTCATATATAATAGCTTGAATACATTTCATTGAAGTGTCCAGGCAACTGTTTTTATAAGCAGTCTGAACTAACTCTAAAATGCAGAAAAGACTTGAAATTATATTGGATGGAATCTGACAAATAATGTTTATAACTGCTGAAATGGGAAGATCTGTAGTAGGCGTAATCTTAGTTGTTGCTGTTGTTACCTCTTGAGAGGATGGAGCGCTTTCAGTTGGTTTGTCTGACGTTGATGTTTCCTCCTCCTCACAATCGCAATTAGTATCTGTTGCATTCGTTGGTGTGATTTCTGTATCTTGTGTTGTTCCCTGATCGGATGTTGGGTTGGCTACTGTTGGTGTAGTTCCTTCTGTACTTTGTGTTGTTCCCTGATCGGATGTTGGGTTGGCTACTGTTGGTGTAGTTCCTTCTGTACTTTGTGTTGTTCCCTGATCGGATGTTGGGTTGGCTACTGTTGGTGTAGTTCCTTCTGTACTTTGTGTTGTTCCCTGATCGGATGTTGGGTTGGCTACTGTTGGTGTAGTTCCTTCTGTACTTTGTGTTGTTCCCTGATCGGATGTTGGGTTGGCTACTGTTGGTGTAGTTCCTTCTGTACTTTGTGTTGTTCCCTGATCGGATGTTGGGTTGGCTACTGTTGGTGTAGTTCCTTCTGTACTTTGTGTTGTTCCCACTTCATTAGGATTAGTTCCAGTCGAATTTATGACGTCCATTTGACGTTTCTCAGTATCAAATGACCTTTTACTATTTGATAAACATACTGATAAATCTACATCACAGTTCTGAAAATATATTTAGACTAATCAAAATTTTATATAAGAAGTAAGAAATTTAATTATTAGACTAAAATGAAAACACATAAAAAATAAACAATTAAAAATTATGAAATATTAAAAGTAAAAATTGATTTATTACAGTATAATCTGAAGTATAATATTATATATAAAGTCTGATAATTTGCTTATAGGCCTATAAGAACTGTAAGAAACGTGAAAATACTACTGCTTTCAAAAATTAAGATCTAATATTTGTATAGCGATAAAAACTTCTATTATATTTAAATATTCTAATAAACATATATTAAAAAACATATATTCTTGGTTTAAATTCCTTTTGCTATACAAACAATATGAAGCCCTTTCTTCAACACCAAAATCGAAAATGTCCCATGTGAAAATGAGACAGACATTGGATTTTCCTCGTAGGATTTTCCAAAGTCCATTATGGGACAGCTCCAACGAAGCTAGTTTAAATTACACATGAATATTTTCAAGGATCATATGAGGCTTTGGATTAGATTCATAAAAAGCGGCAATGCGACACTTAAGCGCTCTGCAATAATGTGCCTCATGGATAGACTTTGTAATAAAAAATGGCTTCAATTTGGTGTTAAACACGTGGAAATCTCAGAAAACTCCATGTGGGTGGTCCCGTTGGTCAGGCGCAAACCCATCGTTCAGTGGTTTACTGGTGGGCACTCGGGACTATGGCCATCCGACAATTTCAAAATTACCTATGAAATAAATACAAATTCATAGAAAAATGTATATTTTTGTTATAAAAAGAAACACTTACTAAGTTGAATAAACGCTTAAGCAGTGATTCAATTTCATTTAGATCTTTTTGGAACGGATCAGGTTTAGGAAAAATCCAATCAAAAAATCCAAATATTCTATCACTCTCTTCGCCGTTTTCAATATGTAAATTCTTTCCATCGCAGTTTCCTGCAAATATAATACCTAAACGAAAATTTTATTTTGTGGATCTGAGAACTTCATAAAAAATATTTCACAAATATAAATATTAATATACATTTAGTTTTAAATATTTATATTAAAGAAAACAATTACAGAATTTATAATTAACTCCTACTCGAGATTAAAGACGGACACTCGGACAGACTACAATGGGAATTTATGTGTCTACAATTTTAACAAAGTGCAGCCAAATAATTGAAATGATTATTGAGTCTAGGTGACAAGTAACTACAGTGGTGCGTTAAGGATCACCCCGGGACCATTCAAACATACTTCCTACACTTTAATGTATTTTTTATAGTGAATTATATATGAATATAATCAAAAATACTTTAATTTTTCCATTATTAAAAATAGTACATTAAATAAAATTCATTTGGATATTGTCTAGAATGAAATGTGCCATAGACTCATATGGAAATCGAATAGAATTGAGTGAGTCTAAGAAGTTCATGAATTAATTTAAGTTCTGAGTAGATTAATAAGTTATAACAGCTAAGTAAACAAACAAGAGCAAACGATAATATAAATAATAATAATAATTAAAAAAATTAACACTGGATGTGAAAGTGGCGCTGCTTTCAACAGATGCGACACAACAATTGCTAGAACAGAAAATCAACCACCCACGAGTAAAAAACTAGGTCAGTAAACATTATCGTAACTGCTGCTGTACTCTTTCAGCCGTAACGGTTACGCAAATTTATTCTAACTGCTGTCAATAACGTTGAATTACTTACAGAGGCGTAACGAATTAATCATTTTCTATGCTACTTATGCTAGTTAAGGTGCAAGTAAAATGTATGTAATTTATATTATTATTACAGATTTTACTATTTAAAATAATGGAATTTAAATATTTATAATAACAATTAAAATAATATAATTTAAAATTGCTAAACATTAACCATTTTAACAATTCGACTGTATATAATTAAAATATATATATAAATTCCAACCTTCAAAACCGCCACCTCCTAATAACGGACACATCTAAACAACGGCCATTTCTTCAGAAACTTTCTTATAAACAAAATTCATATAAAATAAAAACCAAACTTATCCTACGGGCAGAAAGGGCAATTGTCATGGGCCCCCACCAACAGGGAACCACAAACAAGTCTAATATAAATAAATATTTTCCCCAAATTTTCCGTCTGAAATCAACACTGTACACGAGATCCCCTAATTCATATTTTCCTGGGCCCTACGAAGCTATACCGACTATAGTAAGAATGTCAAAGTTTAAATTTGGCCCCATATTTCAGGGCCCTAGATTGCTAGGTAAAGCAAAGAACTTAAAAAACGAACGAAGAAACCGGGAAATTCCCCCCCAAAAAAATATTTCCCCGGAAAAGAATGTCAACTATGTATGTACTAAGGGCCCCCATGAAACTACAGCTAACTTTTGTATTCTCGACTCAGTGGCCGCCATTGACAGGTTTGACTGCGTACATAAATAACTTAAACAGAAAATGTATGTACTGTACGTATTTATTTTACATTATAAAAATATTAAAATTTATAAGAAACATAAAACTAAATTCATTATGACCATTAAATATTAAATTTAATGGGTATTTTTACGTTATTAACATTGTAAATATACCTTAAATTTTTTTTAAAATTTAAATTAAGATTATAAAAATATATAACTTTGATTTATTTAATTTAAACGTTTAAACTTAAAAAAAAAAATTAAATCCTAATTTGAATCATTCTTAATTAAAATAAATTATAAAAGTTGAAAAATAAACCGGAAAAATCGGTAAAATAATTTTTAAATTAAAGATTCTTACTGAAAATGATCAACAGCAACATTTTACTAATGCTTCCTTTTGTTGAGTTACAATAAAACGTAACGTAACGAATATTTATAGAGAAAGGAGAACGGAAAATGCGCACTTTCATATAGAGTAACATCTGCTAATTATACAGAACTTCAAGAGTAACACCTGCTAAACTCTATGCATTAAAACTCTAAAGTAATTTTTCTTTTATTTTATTAATATTATATTCCTTGATACCTAACATAACGTAACAGTTTAAATAAAATATACAGTATTATTTAATTGAATATATTGAAAGAAAACACAAGTTTTTTACTTACTTTTTGAATAAAACATTCGAAAGATTTATTTTTAATTCACTTCGTTTTAAAATCCATACATCTGTGTTCAATGTGTTACGTCACTTCTGTGATGAATTATAAACAACGTTTGCCAAACTATTGCTCGCGAGCTGCGTATAGCTCCTATATATACTTTCTTTTAATAAACTTGATACATAAAAAAGTATTAAATATGTATAAGTGATAAATTTTCTGACTCTTACTTACTGTAATATCCACAGGGATTTGAAGTGTAATCCGCAACACCTGGCTAAAGCGTGCCATTTAATTGTTTCTAATAAAGAGTGTAATGTTTGTAGACTTAATAAGTAACTATAAGCATGCAATTTAAACATTCAATTATATAGAAATTCTTGCATAATTTAGAGGATTGTTTTATTTGTATACAGCAACACAACACGTGGGTGATCCGACTTGCCATGATTTTTAACAATCTTTGCATAAAATTAAACATTTTAGTAAGATGTGGACTGTTGACAAGTGAACTAGTCACTGACATAGTTCATTATATATTAAATGAAGTACCTTTTTGATGGGTTTACTTAACTAATTGCCACCCGAAACGTGAATAACTGATATGCGTACACTTGACAGAATTAATTCTCTCTAACTCCTCGGAAAATGGACGTAGAACGTTGATTTAAATGATATTACAAAGAGAATCGAAAAATAAAAGGAAATGTTTTATTTGATTTCCACAAAATGTTATAATTTCGGAAATATTTAAATTCAGATTGTACGTGCGGCTTTCAGGTGGTGAGTCATTACTGCCACTGTTACAGAAGTAACGGTCATTAATAATAAAAATTTTCATTAATTAATAAGGTATACTGACAAATTAGAAGTGTTTTTTTTATATTACTACAAAAGTTTTTATATTGTAAAATAAATACGTATACAGTACTTATATATTAATATTTTCTTAAATTATTTATCCAAGTAGAAAAACACAACATGTAATATGCGCCAGGAAAAATCTTATGACAATTTTTAAAGGCTTTTTTCTGTGGTAAAGATAAGCTTCGAGCTTTGAAACGGTACTCACAACATCCCGTGTTATTATTTTTATCATTTCGCTCCCAAGGGCCAAGATTACGTTTACCAAAGAAAACCTATGATGTGTCATCGAAAGTGTGATATTTTAATTCAATAATATAGTAATATATAAGTATACGTATTTGCTTGTAATATAAATATTTGTCATAAATTAATAAGAAAAACTCTTCAGTAATGAAGACTTTTGTCGTTATTAAGTCATTACCGTTGTCACACGCACTAATAACTCACCACTTGCAGCAGCAATTTACTGTCTATATACAATTTAAGCTTAAATATTTCCGAAACGATTGCTTTATGTGGAAATTTATTAAAACGATTCTCTTTCAAATATCACTTAAAGCATCTTCCTGTCAACATTTTCCGAAGAGATACGGAGCATTAATTCTACCTGCCAAGTGAACCACACTCGTTATTAACGTTTCACGTGGCAAGTAGTTAAGTAAAGTAATCAGCGATGTACTTTGTCTGATATTTAACGAATTATGTCAGATAAAACAAGTAAAAATCCATTACTTTGTAGGTAAAATTAATGCTTTCAAAAAAACTAGAATAAATATGCAAAGACGTGATGTTAGAAATGTAGAAAAAACTTTTATTAATTAGATCAAGTAAAGAATTTAAAAGATAGAAATTAAAAAAAATTATGTAAAGGTTTGAAAAAGAATCTAACCAGAGAACAATAAAGATGAACACTGAAAATAATATGTATTATATGAAAAAATAGAAATATTATAAAGATATTAGCGTACCAAATATTACATGAAAATAAAACTCAGATTGAAAATTTCAGTTTAAAATCATAGGAAAATAAGTATTTCAAATGATTAAATGGGATTTCTAGCATTTGGTTAACATATAATTGTCCTCAGTTGGCAAGTAAAATGAAATTTGTTGTTAAAAGAAAGGATATAATTAATGATGCANATTTGGCTAAAGACAATAATAGTTAGAAATATTTACTTATAATTTTTGATTTGTTTTCAAAATATACTTATGTAATTCCAATCAAGAATAAAACACCAATCTTCACTAATCCATATATTAATAATAATTTAAAATGTGATATAAAATGTGTGATATTTTTGTATTAGAACATTTATAGAACGTATAAGTAATTAAGTATAACATACTATAATTGTATGTATAGTAAAAATTACATTATTCTTGGTAAGTTACTTATTATATTAATATTAAATATCATTTTGTGCTCGAGGTTGTTGACAAAACATATAAGCTTTGATAATTCGAGATATCTGTTCAGTAGTGTGTCATATTCAAAGATACGTGTCCAGGAAAGTAGCATTATTCGAAATATGTGTACAGAAAGATGCTATTTTTCAAAATATTCATTCACAATGCTGTCCTTGTCCTGTTTCAAAATATGCGTCAAGGGGTGTGTCATATTTTTTGATATGGGTCCAGGTCGGTGTTATAATCCGAGATATTCATACATGGATGTCTTGGTATGATTGTATCTGTTATCTAGAGTCAATAGAGATAACAAATACTTCAGAATTAGTAACAAATGGTTGGAAAAAAAGATCAAACGATGTGTCAAGGACGAAAAGATGGAAGAAATAGTGTTAGAGCTTAAAAGAATAAAATCTGTAGATAATTAGAATAATACTAGTAGTCTAAAGGCTGCTATACACGATGGGTTAATCCTTTGAGGCTGCCTGTCCTTGAGGAACTTCCGAATTTCCTATCGCCCAAAAACGAAGAAAACCTCTCAGCAGAGGGTGGGGCAGCTTGCCCCGGGCGCCACTGGCAGAGGGGAGCCTAATGGTTTCCAAGAATAACAAAATTTGTTTCTGGAGGGGGAGGGGGTGCCAATATAGTGTCGCGGCCCGGGTGCAGTTATGTTCGCTACGCCATTGTGTTTATTATTACGCCATTGATGTTTATTGGCAACAAATTCTATTAAAACCCGCGGGAAAAAAGTATGCATAGAAGTCTATGGTGTAAATAGTAGTAGTGGTGGTTTGGGTAGCACTGATCACAAAATTAATTTTTGAAGAGAAATCTTGGGCTATAGATTATGTTAAAAAGCATCAATTATCAGCGAAAGACAATGGCAAGTCGATTTTACTACTAAAGAGTTTCAAGATGTTTTATGAAAACGGAAGAAATGAATTGAGAAGTTTTCTAAATATTAAAATTATTTATAATTTTAATTTACTCGAGAAATTTTTGATCCGAAAATAATTTATAACCTGAAAAATTTATTTATTAGGTTATAAATAATAAAAGTTAATAAGGTTATAGAAAATAATTCTTCCAAACATTCACGAGACATTCTTCTCACACACGTTTAGGTCGGCCTGCGCAGTCTGACACTGCGCCAGGATAATCAAATGGTTTTTCAATTCTACTCAGGTGGTCGGTACAGGTCGCCGAAGCTGTTAAATTGTACTCATAAACTACCAAGAATTATTAAGGTCAGGCATGCATGATTTCTCCTTTGAGAATTAACCTAAAGAATATGGCCGATTCTACTCAGGTAGTCGGTACAGTTCGCCGAAACTATTAAATTTCCCCCCCACACATCCAGGAATGACTCAAAATCAGGCATGCATGGTTACTCCTTTGAGGATTAACCCATCGTGTATAGCAGCCTTTAAAGCTGCTTTACACGATGGGTTAATGGGTTAAGAAACAATCTCCCTTTAAAGGCAAAGTAGAATGATAAAACTAAAGTGACTAATGGATGTTGGAATATTCAGGAGTTAAATCAAAAAACGTATTGGTGAATTGTTAAAGTATGACATAAAGAAAAATTATGTTTTTGCTTTAATGGATACTCCGTCGATGTATGAAGAAATTTGAAGTATGGAAATAATAATTGTATACTTCCCCCTTTAATAGATAAAGCGAAGTGTTTCCAAGAAATCTAGTGCTGTAACACAGTGGTCAATTATTATTAATATATGGATTAGTGAAGATTTTGAGAGAATTTGGACACTATATATAAAGAGCAGAATTCTAATGTTAATTATACAAGTTTATCTAAAGATAATACTGTTAATGTAGATGAAAAGTTTTATTTAAAAGCATGGCCATTTTATTTTAAATGGTAAGATTACTGGTGATATTCTAGCGGAATATATTTTTGTATCACATATTGGTAAATCATTAGTAGATTATATTATTTGTTCGGAAGTTATTAGTGACACACTGAGCAATATGAAAGATGTAAAGTCATTCTGAAATATTGTAAATTATTTTCTTAGATCAATTTGAAGAGCTATCGGTTCCATTTGAGAGTCGGTCTCGGTATTTTCAACTTTTTTCGAATAACTATTTATGTAAAAATATATCTAATTCTAAATATAATTATCATCTAACAGATAAAACATATGAACATTTATTTATTGTAAATATTATAAGTAATAATGTAAGAAAATGAAAGGATAATACGGCTCCAGTTTATGACTCTATTTCCAATTTTTTAATAAAAAATTGACTGAGGAATATTGCAGAATTCGTTATTAGAGAATTATTTTTATGATGAGTAAGATTTCAAAAGATTGAAACGAAATTGTTCCTAACTTATTGTTTAAAAATGCGGTAAAGGAAACTTCAACAAAATTATAGGCCTATAGCACTTCTTTCAGGCCTTCGTAAATTATTTACCTCAGCTTTATTAACAATGTTAATATAACTAATTGATGCGACTTGTCTGCTTTGACTAAAGAAAGTTTATTTTTTTTCAAAACATTTTATTAATTTTTTTGATTTTTTAAT